GGATTTGATCCTAATCCTAATAACTTTAGGGGCCATCTTCAAAGTTCGCAGCTTGGTCCAAACGCCAAAGTTTTGAGGGCATTAGAGAAGGGCCCAACCCACAGCCCCAGAGCCAAATGTGTATGGATATAATTAACCACTTAGGACTGTGCATTTTGTGCTCTGAAGTGTATTGTGTAACTTGTACTGGGACAGGAGAGTCCCTCAAGGAGAGCTGCAGATGAAACTGGTCATTCAGGCATTGGTATTCTTTTCTCTTTGAGTCAGTACTTATCTCACTGCCCCAGCGAGGCGTGGGGAGATGCTGTGCTCATGGTGATGTGTCCCTACCAATTGTGAAAGTAAAGCTCTCATGGTGCTTTCCACGCGAGTATGGGTGATAGCTCTGGGTTCCTGTTTGGGTCATTACATTCTGCCTCCTAAATCCTGCCTGCTGTTTCTGTTACTGTCCCTCTCGCACACATCCTTAATTCCCAAGGGAATGTCACCTGCACTCCCTGTCCCCTCCAAGTCGCTGTGAGTAGGGCATCTGTACCTCTACCCTCCTCCTTAGCCAACCCAAACCCAGATCTTACGTCTAGCTCACATCCTGTGGAACCCTGGCTCGAGCTGAAGAATCCTGCGCCTACTGAGTTCCAGGAAGTGGGCAGGCACAAGCCCACCCATGTATGAAGGCCCCTTCCCCAGCCTAAGAGGAGGAGCGACTAAATCTGAGGCCCACTGGCTTGGCTGCTGCTGCTGACATAATGAGCTCTGCCACATTAGCTGTTATCAGGGAAGGAACAAATGAACAGGAAAATGTGCAGCAGTTGTACTAATTTACCAGCAGCACAGTGTGATGTCTTCTGCCATGCATAGACAAGGCTGTGTTTGAGCTTCATGCACATCTGTTATCCTGTAAGGCAAAGCTTCTCTGGGAGTTTTATCCAACCTAGGTTCAGCCAGATTTGGTTCAGAATTTGTCTCATGCCAAAAAGTTGCTTTCATTTATGCAATCTAAACCAAAGATCTGTCTACTTAGTCAAGGGCCTATCCCTCCCCAGGGTGTGTCAGGGTCAAGTGCTCACTCAGGCTCCAGTCATCCAATAGGAGCAGACAGCATCAGCTGTTCTAGCTGGGCTTGTCCCTTCCAGGGTTCAGAGGAAACAAAAAGAAACCAGTCCTAAACAAGCCACCAGCCTTTCTCCCTTTAGGGACCTCAGGCAAGCCACAGTCCAACTCAATGGCCTCTGGTCCATTACCAGAGTGTGTCTTGTGGCAATTGTTTATAATCCAGCCCACCTCTCTCTCCGGAAGCTCAGACAGTTCATAGGTATGGCTGGAGGCTCCACCCTTGACCGGACCTCTCCTCATGAGCTGGAAGATCAGATGTCTAGCCTCATCCTCCAGTCTCAACATGCCGGCCAGGACCACTTGAGCCCACAGCACCGCCTTAACCCATTCCTGTCTGGTGCAGGGTTTGTACACCCCTCATAGGGCCATAGATCATCAGCTTTACCCTAACTTCCCTAATCAGCTTCCTACGCCAATTGCCATATAATAGCAATCACTACAGTCACAGCCCCAAACGCTGCAGTATTGCTATGATAAACTACAGCGGTGATAGTCAGACCTCAGTGGTTCAGGAACCAAAATGGCGATCAACATTACTCAAAACAGTCTCAGGAGTGTGAATTCATTATTTCATTTACTATATATATATATATATATATATATATATATATATATATATATATATATATATATATATATATATAAATAATGTGTGTGTGTGTGTGTGTGTCTTGGTATTCTGACCAAGTATTATTTTCTCAACTACAGTTGGTTAATAACATCATAAAAGCATCCTGATTGGCTAATAACTTAGATTGGTTAATAATTAAATCATGCTGTTTTAACAGTATGTGCTACAAACAGCCGCTTGAATTACAGCCCCTCAGACAATCACTGTATCATGCGCACATCTCTCTCCATCAGGTCATTCACCTTCTTCTGTTTCAGTTGATGTTTCTGAGCCTTGTCTCCTTTATCAGTGCCCTCTGGCCACCTTATCTTTTGGGAAATCCCTTTAACACGCCTCTCTGAGGAGCTTGCCTCTCTTTGCACTTTGTCTTTCCCTTGGTCTCCTCATTCCATTTAATGAAAGGATGCCGAGCTGAGCTGCAAAACCTTGAAGGCCCTTTTCAAACAAGGAGAGAGATCTAGATCCTCAAGCTATCCTCAGGCACCTATTTCCCATTGACATCATTAGGAGATAGACACTTAAATACCTTTGAGGATCTAGGCAGAGTCTACTTGATCTTTCCATATCAGCTTATTAACCAGCACCTGGGGTCCCCTGTTGGTGGGAGGGTTATTGCCAAAGGTCATCTGTGTTTAGGGATGTCTTGTCTGAGTTTAGTTCTCCTTAGGGAGGCAGTCCTGTTTTGCCATCTTTTCAGAAAGGAAAGAGACCCAACAAGAGAGTTAGGTTGGGATTGGAAATTGTAGTTGGTGGGGGCTCATCTACCCCTAGAAGCGCTACAGTGGCACCAATGCAGCTGCGCCGCTATAGCGTGTGTGGTGAAGACTCTCTCTGCCGTCTGCATAGTAAATAGCAACAGGCAGGTGTTACGTTGGCAGGAGAAGCTCTCCTGCCAACATAGCGCTGTCCACACCAGCACTTAAGCTGGTGTAACTTACGTTGCTCAGGGGAGTGGCTTAATCACACAGTGACATAAGTTATACCGACATAACCTGTAGTGTAGACAAGCCTTGGGGCTCTGTCTAGTTCCTAGTAGACAAGCACCCACGTCACAAAACTGCTCTCACAATCCGCCCTCTACAAAGATGTCAGGGACTAAATGGGCCCGTAGCCTCACTCCCATTACTTTCAATGGAAGTAAGGATCTGGGCCATGGGGCCTCAGCTGTTTTGTCGATGCTGCTAGCAGTGGGACCATGCAGGGGCAGCTTGCATTGATTGAGCCCATGGTGTTCACAGTCCTGGTTAAATAGAACAGTGGTTCCCAAAACATTTCACTAAGCCAACCCACCAACTGCATTTTGTTTTTTGTTTTGCAACCCACCCAGGGTGCAGATTCATGGCAGGGGGTCATAGGCCAGCATCTTTCTCCTCCTCACCCTACTAGGAGGGCACCAGCCACCCACAGCAGCACCCCCTCTCCCCCAGCACTGCAACCCTGATCCTGGCCTGGTGCAAAGGGGAGGCCCTGGCAGGGGTGTTTGGAGAGTCAGCGTGCCCTGCACTTATCCTACTGCAGCAGCACCTGTCTGATGGGGCTGAGCTCGGCTCTCTGCTCCAGGCATTGTGACCTAGCACACATGGTCACCATAGATGGCTGGCACAGCCAAACACAAGTGGCACTGCAACCCTGTTGCAATGCCCAGAGTGGGGAGCCAGGCCTAGTCCCCCTGGTGGGTCAAGATACACCATTTGGGAAACACTGAAATAGACGACTTTACTTTCTCCTTCCCTTAATACAGCAAATCTACTAGCACTAAGGACTGGGTCCTGTTCCAGTGCAGTCAAGGGCAAAACTCCCGTTGACACAGAATAGCATCTAAGGAACAGACTCCAAAGAGAGACAGCTGAACTCGAAGTAATATGCAAATTAACTTAGGTTTAAACAGAGACTGGGAATGGTTGGGTCATTACACTAATTGAATCTATTTCCCCATGTTAAGTTCTCCTCGCACCTTCTATGGGTCATCTCGATTATCACTTCAAAGTTTTATTTTCTCCTGCTGCTGATCGCTCATCTCAATTGATTGGCCACTTACAGTTGGTATGCGTACTTCCACCTTTTCATGTTCTCTGTATGTATAAATATCTTCTGTCTGTGTGTTCCAGTCTATGCATCTGAAGAAGTGGGCTGTAGCCCACAAAAGCTTATGCTGAAATAAATTATTTAGTCTCTAAGGTGTCACAAGTACTCCTGTTCTTTTTGCGGATACAGACGAACACGGCTGCTACTCTGAAACCTAAGGAACATCAGTGATTCAACTAATACAGTAGAACCTTAGAGTTAAACACCTCAGGAATGGAGGTTGTTCATAACTCTGAAATGGTTATAATGCTGAACAAAACATCATGGTTGTTCTTTCAAAAGTTTACAACTGAACATTGACTTAATACAACTTTGAAACTTTGCTATGCAGAAGAAAATGCTGCTTTCCTTTTTTCCCCCCCCCTTTTTAAGTAGTTTATATTTAACAGTACTGTACTGTATTTGGTTGGGGTTTTTTGGTTTGTTTCTTGGCTGTGTTGCTGCCTGATTGCATATTCCCAGTTCCAAATGAGGTGTGTGGTTGACTGGTCAGTTCGTAACTCTGGTGTTCGTAACTCTGAGGTTCTACTGTATAGTGAATTTTACACCTGATGCAACTCCCATTGACTATAATGGCAGTAGCATCAGATGCTAAATTCACTGTTAATTACATCATTGATGTTCCTGAGTTGCTGTCTCGGCATACTTACTGTGTATTACTGGCCAAGGCCTCCTCTATCCCTAGTGACAGAGAATGTATTTCTGTAACTCAAGGTACTCAATCTACTGGCAAGAGGGCTGAATGCCCTCACCTCCCGTTGAAGAGCTAAGGGCCCACAACCTCTCCAGGATCAGGCCCTCAATGCTTAATTCTGTATCACTGAAGTCAACAGTCAATTGATCTCACTGATTTCAATGAGAGTTTGATCAGCCCTTGTGGCTGTGATTCAACAAAGCACTTAAGAACATGCTTACCCCATGGAAGCCCATCCCTATTCAATAAGGCCCCCCAGTTCAGGAACGCAGTCCTGTTCAGGAAGGGCACTTAAGCACATGCTTCAGTGCTGAATTAAGGACTATGTTCACATATGCAGCCTCCACTGACATTAATGGGAGTTGTCTACAAATATTGGGTGGCAGAATGCAACCCCAAATGCTACCAAAATAAGTATGGAACATGATGTCCTTTATTCACCTCCACAGGTTACAATGAAAACAAGCGTGTCTATGATTTGGTAAAATATATTTTATTTGTTCATACAAAGAAATAGTATGAATTATCAGAATTTCATTTTCCTAGAAACATCTTTCTCTGTGTAAAATTAATTTGTGTTGTACATACCACAAAATACTTGATTTACAATTTTTTAATTTTTTTAAAAACAAATTGGCTATTCTATAGTACCATGTTACAGACAACACATCGCTAATATCTGTACTGCACTTCTGAATACAGGGCTGAATGAAACTCAGCCATAAATTAATGTTACAATGTGAAAAAAGAAAATCTAACCACACCTCTGAGTTTAATGGTTTATCCTTCTTGAAGAAAACAAAACATGATGATAGCATTGAGTCCATTATTAGCAACCCAGATGCATACTACAGGGAATCCAATCTTGGTTGCCATATTGCTTAGGTAAGGCCTTTTATATTAATTGGTCTCATATAAACTTCATTACAAAGGCTGTTCAGCTAGGATTAGCAATTTGCTTAAGGTATTCAGAGTATCAAACACCATATATTTCTATAATCCAACATGGTTGCCTCATGAAACCATTCAGTACCAAGGCTTGATTATACCAACTAAGCCAACAGCCTGGTGAATTTTGTACAGTTGAGAAAGACATCAGGAGATCAAAAATTGTTACAAAGAAAGCAATATACAGAGAGATCAGGACACCTAAATCCTCCAGTATATTTAAAACAACCTAAGGAAACAGGTGAAATGAAGAAATGGCAAAGTGATAAATACCTGAAGTTTGCCAAGTACTGGAAGAAATGGGATCACACGGTTGGACAATGTTGTCACTTCACCAGAAAGTGACCCTGGTTTCATAAAAGCCGAGTGAACAGCTGGAGAGTTATTTCTTCCTGACCATGCAGGGCCACCAGATACAAGGCTTAATGCAACACACTGCACAAGTTCTGCAGTAGGAAGAAACAGGGATTCAAGTTCTAGGATAACTAGTGTCCTAGGATGCTGCTTTACAAGATCTAAAGCTTTTTTCTGCAATCATTCAAGACCCTCAAGTTAGCAGGCCCTTATGGTAAATTGAATATGCTAGTCTATTTATCACTCAGTAGTAGAGGTGGACCCCAAGACCTGCAGTCCATGGTGAAAGCCTGGGCCCAAAACACACACACATCCAAATGCCCCTTGAATTTTCATCTGTTTTGCAACCCAGGGCTCCCTCTGCACTGCAGTAATGAAGATGCCACACTCTCTATTGTGGCTTGCCACAGTATTGGCTAATGTGTCAATCGGCTGATGGAACTGCCTATGGCAAAACAATACTGTTTCACGGGCGAGATTTCACCTTTCCTTGGAGTGGGAAAGGCTTGGGGGAAAAAACAAATCAAAGGTTGCACCATGCTCCAAAACCAACCGAAATTAGACTGTCATTATAGAGCTTGATACTGCAAAGTGCTAAGTATCCCCCTGCCTCACCCGGCTGGGATTTGAGGGTGCTCTCATATACCTGTCGTTCTCCTCTCCCACTGACCTGGGTATGGCCCCCTCCCACACATTTCCCAGTGGCATTGATAAATAGGGGAGCTGGGTCAGGGGAACCTTTTGACTCCGTATCTACCTTTACTTGCCATGACATTACACTGCTCTTGTAAACAAGTTAGAATTCCCTGTTAGTCATTAGATTAAACTAAACACCCCTTGGGTTTGGAATGGGAGCAGATCCATCCACATTTCAAGGGGCAGCATTTTACTGCAAATCTCATTGTTACAGAGACAGAGGGCTGGCGTCTGCTCTCAGTACCATTAGTGTAAGTGAGATCAGAGCTGGACCAAGCGAGAGCAACATGGGCCTGTTAACTGAATGGTTCGGAAGGAAAGTTATTGCATCTGCACGTCCATCATTAAGCAGCTGTAGTGGACAGCTGTATAGGACAAAACAAGAGCAAGGAGGCTGTTAAAGTAAAAGCAACATCTGAGGAATGCTATATGACAACCACCACCACAGCTGGGTATTGTTTAGTAATCTGGTATTAAAATGGAGGGGTTGCTGACCGGGGGGGTGGCCACTAGCGTCTTCAGCCTGGTGCTAAGGTATACTGGTGACACATATGAAACCAACATATCAACATAATGAAATCATGTATCTTTTACCCATTGCTGTAGCATTATACATGCAGTTGTCTAGCATTTTATTACACTGCACATATATTATGCAAGTACTTGTTTATTTACACAGTAATGTCATAAGGTTTATTTAGCCAATACCTTGCTGCTCCCACTACATAGTATTTATAGACATTCCTGCACGCTATGAAAGGTGCAATTAATAGCTTGTTTAATCTACATTCAGGGTTAAACTGAAGTCAAAAACAGCCATGTGTACCCTGTAGTTGCCCTGGAACGATGGGATAGCCCTGCTTTAATTAAATTCAATGGGAATTAGGATCAGGATTTTCTGCAGTTACCCTAGTCACTAAGAGGTCCATTAGAGATGGGTGAACCTCAGGTGGTGAGGATAGACACTCAAAGTTTGTGGAGATTATCCACACCACCTAAGCCTGCAAAATTTGGCCAGCATTCTAGGGAGAATCATTCATTCACTCACTGCTAGCTTCTGCCAGGGCTGTAAATTCTGCAAGAATAGCTATTCTGGGGGTGGGTCAACATTTCTGGTTCTACTCCTGGCCTGACATCAGAAACACTCTTCTGAACAGCTCAGCTCCTCAAAAAGTGTTTGGTTCAAAACTACAGGCAACATGTTGGGTTCTTATTTTAACTGGTTGTCCCATCATCGCTTATGTATTTAAATGATCAACAGTTACACCTCTGAGCAAAGAGCGGTCTTGACTAATATCAGAGCCCTGTGTGATTCAGGGTCTTATTTTCCAAGTATTTGGGGTGAATGTACTGCATGTGAAATGAGAGACCAGTGGCAGTAGATGTAGGCAAGTACTATGCAAGTATCCCTAAGTAGTTCTATGGATTCATTTAAATCCTGCCTGGTAACATCCCCTTCCAATTCCAGATAGGGGCCTGTTCTGGACAGACTCTTGATGAAGTATTAGACCAAAATGTAAGGTGGACAAGACAACATCAAATGGGAATAAGGCTGAAGCCCCCCCTCACGCATCCCCACAAATCATTGCATTGGTGAACTACCTCAGATCCCCAGCTGTGCATGGACTCACAGTGTCCCCTACCCACTCCTCGGGGGACACTAAATCAGTGACAGACTCATCCCCTGGCTTTTGCTAATGGCTCCTCTGGTTCTATTGATTTCTTTGGTGTGTCAAAGCAGATGCGCTGCCTGCATGCTTGCCTCTAGTGCGTTTTAAAATGGGTTCCATACAAGGCGAGTGTATACATGGAGGAGCTGAATTTCATTTACTACAACATAGTTCCACCCAGCACTTCACATTTTTTAAAAATGCATAGAGTCCCCACCCAGGAAACCGGTTTGGGCCAGGAGGGGGGAGATTCTCCTTGTTTAAATAAAAAAAATAAAAATAAAAACACAGACTAATAAGACTGCTCCCCCCTTGCAGCAAAATCTCATGCTATTGGTGCTCTTTTCCAAAGGCGCACCTTATGTGCCAAGCAACACTTGGGGAAACAGAAGCAAGCAGAAGTCTCCCAGCAGCAGTATGGCTGGGGAGTGTGGATACTGATGGATTTTGCACATTATAACGCCCCTGTAAAGCAGCTGCTGTGTTGGGCCTCAGCATCTGAGCTTCAAAGAGCAGCACAGCCTCTCCCTCCCCGACTGTTATTCGGAAGGCAGGAGGGAACGTGATGATGGGCCAACAGATCTCATGCAAAAGGTAGGGAGACAGATACTCGGGAGTTGGAAGATGACAAGTAAATGTTTATAAAGGCCTAATACCCGTAACGAAAATAAAATTGTGCTTTCCCACCCCCCCCCCTTCCTTTTAATACTAATTTCCTCTAGGTAAATGGAAGCACCATCAATTATAAACCAAACAAAATAAAAAGACCAATATTAGAATTAAACACCATGGAATGTTAAAAAAAAAAAGGTTATGGGCTAATATTCTAGACAGTGTGGTTAGGCAGCTTAGTGAATTAATTACTTAAAAATTAAAAATAAATTATTATAAAATAGATTTCTGTACATTTTACATACACACACACACATATCTTTATAGAAGCAAGCTGCACCATGGGGTAATTACAAGGAGACACTGTCGTGCCAGCCTCAGTCCCAGCCGAAGTCGTGCCCAGTCATCTGGTAGAACTTCATGTTGAAAGGCCTGTAGAACTCCCGCAGTCTCTGCACCACCTCTCTGTCTATATTGGGGTGGGTCCTGCCTTTCGTTTTCCCCAGGCAGTGGGGTTTGCTGCTGCCTTCAGCTTTCTTCAGGCAGGGGAAGCCCTTGGTTTTGTTGAAGTAGAAGTGTTTGTCCGTGATGATCCTCTTAAGGCCCAGAAAGTCCTGGACCCTGCCCAGCTCCCCAGCGGGGTCGCTGATCAGCCTCTCCCCGCTGACAAAGAGGATCTGCCCAATGGGGAAGTAGAGGAGCCAGTTCTCCAGGTGCTTGGCGTAGATGCCGATCTGGATGGCGCTCCACGAGGTGTCGATCAGGCCTGTAGTCCTGTTTTTGAAGGTCAGGCTCTCAAAGGTGGGAATATCGGGCTTCTTCGAGAGAGTCTGCGTGTAATCGGAGATGGCTCGCGTCACGGGATCCCGCACCACCACGATGAGCTTGGTGCCCTTCGACATGGCGGAGATTCGAGCAGGTGCTTCCTTGGTGACAAAGTAACTAGGGGTTTTCTCCATGGTGATCTGCCCATCGAGGGTTCTGGGCATCAGGTCTCTGCCAAGAAAACAAATGCACTGGTTAGGACAGCAGGATAACTCATCCCTCGCAATGTAACCTTTATGGGCCCTGCTATCAGCATAAGTCTTATTAGTGTGACTTGCAAATACACAAAGTAGTCAGGCACAAGGTTAGACTCCTGGCAGTTATACCACAGTAGTGATTCATGCTCTGTGTTTGGCTTGCTTTAAAGAGACTAGTCCACCTCTGTGGGGTGTGAATTAGTTGCAGCCTTGAAACTACATCAGTTCAGCAAAATGGAATTGAAATATATTCATCAGAAAAAGCTGGAGCACAGAGAAAAGGAATCATTCACCCTCGGGTGCCTATGCAGATTGCCTGGCCCAAAGGAAAATCTTATTTCCCTATTACTTTGCTTTTGTAAAGGTTACGGGACTTAATTTCTAATGGGACACCCATTGCTCTTCTCTTTTGTAACACGACACTGGGAAGTTTTCTAATGTGCATCACAAGAGAGACTATCGCTTCCTTGTGAAGCATAAAGCATGTACAAGTGTGTGCAATGCAGCAAGTTGAACAACTGCACGCTGACTTGTCAACATCAGGTCCACCATGTATACTCAGTGGAAGAGGCCTCTTAAATTCTCCCAATTCTCTTTTCCTCTAGACCCCCTGAAAGTGCACGATTGTTTCCTATAATACTTGTACAGCACCTAACAGAGTCCTGGTCTACGACACACAAAATAATAAAAAACAACAACTCCTGCTGACTTCAATGGGAGCCATGATCATGGACCCAAGGGAAAAAACTTGAGCCCTGTGTTTTAATATCACGTAATGTGAATGTATAACAGCAAGAGAATCCTTAGTCTAGGACAACAGCTTCTGTGCGCTTTGGCTAGTAATTGTTTGTACAAATTATACCCAATCCTATAATACTTAACTCCTTGATGCAATGTATCAAATCCACTGTAACTTGTGTCATACTAATAGAGAATACAAGTGAAAAAACATCAGTATCCCACATACCTCCTCTTAGGCATTCCACCCACTAAGCTCAAACATATTGAAACATCATAAGGAAGGAGCACTGGGGCTCTGTAGTTTAACATGCCAAATGTTTTCACATCTATGTGCTCCTCTTTCATTAGAGGCAAGATTTGCTTAGGTGCAGTCTAGAAAACTCATGCCACTTAAGCCCACAGTAGGTCTATGCAAAGTGGCAAGAGGCAAAACCTCTGTGGGAGGGCAGCTAGTCTTTGCACCTACTGCGTACTGTGGGAAAGGTTTCCGTGCCAGCTTTCCATAGGTCAGCATGTAGGGCAATGATGGGGCAGGCCAGTGGAAATGCTGTCGGATCCACGTTTAAATGGATGTAGTGTCCTACCATGCAAGCAGTCAGAGGAAGTGGATTTCACCTCTCCCATGCCCTTGCATTTCACCCACAGCAAGGCCTAACTCCACACGCTTCATACAGATGAAGTGCTATTTATTCATAGCATGCCATGCCTGATCTCTGGTGCCAGATGGAACCTGTGCTGCTCTATCAAATTCCCAGGATGAGTGAATCTCCAAAAAACACCCTACGAAGTAGAAGAGTGATTTTCAGGAGAAGCTGCTCTACAACTGGCGAATCCCATAAAAGGTCTGTTTTCTAAGCCAATCACAAAATATAGCAGGCCAATAATGGCACAGCGAACAATTACTAAATCTCACCAGAGCCGAGGCTGAATTTGACAGGCCACTTGTTCACCAGTGTCTTTTTTTTTGAGGAAACTGAACCTGATCTCCATAGCCTGTGCTGGCTGTCTCCTGGCTTAAGATGTTGGTTTTGACTTCTGAAGTCCTACTGGCCCGGGAGCTACCTATCTAGAAGATGGTTCACCCCTGCGACCTACTGCAGCAGCTGCGGTTGGCAGAGATGCCTACATTGAAGCCCCTTTGCAAGTAGAAAGGGGAGTCTGTTAGTGTGCTAGACCTTGGGAACTCCCTTTCTCCCCAGGTTTGAGAGAGCCAGAGCTAATTAGCCTTCAAGGAGGAGATAAGTAGTCTCCATCTCTTGCGGTCTTCAAGACCGGATGCTTTTTCTGGAAGAGATGCTTTAGCCAAGCAAGTTATTGGGCTCAACATAGAGTAACTGGGTGAAATTTAAGGACTGATGTTACAGGGAGGACAGACTAGATGATCTAATGGTCCCTGCTGGCCCTAAACTCTGCAAATCTAGGAAGGGCTGAGCAGTGGTGGTGTGTAAAACTCTTGGATGCACAGGGAGGGGGAAGTAGAAGGAATCTATTTTTATTATATTTATGGTGTTGCTGGGTCAGTTGATCCAATCGGAGAGGAAGTGACAGGGGTGTTTGTTTAGTTTGTTTTCTAAAAGAACATCCAGGGCACCAAGAACACTGGACAAGTGCTCCATTATGCTTTGTATAAATCCAAAAATAAATAACTAATAAATCACCTCCAGCAGGTACAGCAATTAAATCCACAGGTCTTTGGGATACCGGAAAAGAGGGATTCACTGGGAGAAGAATCATAAATCTCATGGTCTAGTGGCCTCCTACCTTTACAGATGTACCTCCATCTCCCAATAGATTTACAAAAGAGCCACAACTGGCCACAACCAGAATTCATGTGAAGTGCTGCTGACACACCTTAGCTCCTGTTGGCTTCAGAGTGAGCTGAGGGTGCTCAGTTCCTTACAGGATTAGCTCAAGAGAGTTTCAAAGCAAAGTTGTCTGGGCTCCCCCTACTGGATCTGCAGTGGCATTTTGCGGAAAGATGGTGTTTCTAGAGCTATGAACTTCCTTGCTGAAATGCTGGCACAGGTACAATAGCAGCAGCCAAATAGATTCACAATGCGCCTTCCTCTGCATGTAAAAAACCCAAAGTCTGTTCTTTGCCAGTGAAGAAGAATAAAACTGGTAGGGAGAGAAATGTGATCGTCAAGCTTTTCAGAAGGTATTCCAGGCAAAGAAGAGTAAGAATAAAGACCCTCTCAACATGCATTAGAGTTGTTGAAAGTGCCACCAGGATCTAGTTCCAAAGCAAAGCTTTCCCACTATGCGCTGACACTCTGCTGTATATTGGTAGCGTCCCAAGACCACCAACAGAATCACAGAGATTGTCTCACAGGGTCTGCCTTGTTTTAAAAGGCAGTGTACAAAGCGAAAGGACAACAATTGCATTTGATGGACAATGAAGCCTGTTGAGACTAAGATGGGTTTGAACATTGGATTAAAAACAGCCTCATGCTTTAGGAGCATTAAGATCAGTATCTAGGTCCAACTTTGATGTTCTGGCCCATCTCTAGCAGAGATCTACATATGGGTCTTCCATGCTTTCCTAAACAGGAGAGTAGTTGGCTTGCTTGCGACTAAATAGGGGAAGCATCCAAGTCACAGGACTACAGGTTTACCAGATGGCCTGAGATTTACACAGGTGGAGAAGTAGCTAATGCCTATTGATACCTAGCTTAACTAATAATAGATCATGATGCTTCCTAGGTGAGCCACCATCGGATTCATGGGTATATACAAAGGGCAAACTGATTTCATCATGGCACTAAGGGACCAATCCCTGCACATACTGAAGTCCACAGTAAAACTCTTGTTGGCTTCGGTGCAAGTAGGAGTAGGCCCAAGTCGTACAACCTAGTCGCTCTGAAAGGGACTGATGTACGTTCCAGAGCTGCAGGAACAGCAAGAGCAAACTAAATAAGTGGAGAAGCATCATTGGAGGGAAGAAAATCAGAAGAAGAGACAGTGGTCAGAAGAACTGCTGTAGCGGACACGTGTTGGCAGGCTGTAACCCATCAGGATGAAAGGAGGGGAATCTAACTTTGCCCCACTATTGCTGATCTTCTGTGCATAAAGGCTAAAAAGGCTAGTGTGCTGCCCCGATGGCTCTGTAATGTATTCTACAACTGCTCCTCATTTCTAATACACAGGTGCAGCTCATGGAGACTATAGGGTCCAGCTTTGACCTGCAGAAGATGTACATCCAAGTTAAAGATCTGGGTAGCTTCAATCTGCTCTGTTTTGTGTAAATGGGTGTGGCTCCTGATAAACTGTTAACACAGGGGGAGATAAAGAAACAGGAGTTAGCCATTGGCAACCTTAATACCCCTTTACACCTTTGACAACCTCTCCCATACTTTTTGGTTGGGCAAGGTTTGGGTGCCCAATGCTTTCAGAAAGCTAACAAACCCCACCCTTGCCAGTTCCCAGCCACCCCTCATACAAACACCACGGCACACTGGGCCAGACCCTCAGCTGGTAGAAGGTTGAATAGGTCCATTGACTTCAGTGGAGCTATGGCAACTGACACCAACCGAGGATTTGGCCCTTAAAGCTTCCGTGGAAGAGAGTCTCGGCAAAGCTATGAAGTGGCTGTGTGAGCAGAGAGATGCATTTTCCACAGGCAGAGAGCAGAGCTCCTAACTCCGAGCTCTTAACATGTCAGCGAAGACAGAATTAAAAAAGCTTTTCCTTTAATGAATATTTGTTCAGCAAAGCTTCACCCATCGTAGGCGAAGTGATAGGCTTACCCTAAAGATGGATTGGCCTACTTTACCTATTAACCACTTAGGTTCTCTTTATTCATTCTTACATTAATCTAACTGCTCTAATCCCCAGGCCCTTTGCAGGCCCCGATTTTTATTAATAAAGCAAGCACACATAAATGTTTAAAACAAAAAACCCTGCGCTCAAACTGCAGCATTTTAACACAAACTCTTCCAATCTGAAAGACAGAGAGATAAATTTACAAAGTCACAATGACAGGTGGCCACATGGTAATCCAATCCCTGATGCCTAATGCCCTTTGTGGCAGCTTTTTGTCCGCACAGAGGGACTCTGAACTAATCTGTTGACACTTCTCAATAAAGAATATCGAGAGAGGCTATTGTCAGTGGGAGGGGGTGGGTGGATGAGGCAAGGTTTACAAACGAATAACAGCTCAACAGTTTGTATCAAGTCGGCAGGTACAACAGACCTACGTTTGCAAGGGTACATTTTCACTACCCGCCGTGTCGG